ACACAACATCGCAGTCACACATGGAGAACATGTCATCCTCCTACATAGTGCTATGTAAGAGAGATGTTCCCAATTCACAGGGGGTAATGTGTTGTGGGTAGACATAGGCAGAGTTTTCGTGGGCAGGAGATCCAAAGTCTTAAAAATGTGGAATCTAGGGAGCTCAGATCTGCACCCTACAAGGGGGCGCCCCACAATGTCCCACAGCACATCCCCGCCATGTATTGAGAACATCTCCTGATGATGACATCATCATTTCTGGTACTATCATCGGGAGATGTTCCTAATACACGGCGGGGATGTGCTGTGGGACGTTGTGGGGGGTCCCCTTTTGGGGTGAACTCGAATTTGCAAGAGTTTGAAAAAGAAGCTCTTGTGTCTTTTAGCACAATAAATAGCCTTTTGATGCATTTTAAAAATCCTAGAAGCAAAAGGTCAAAATACTTACTAAATGGCCTTCATCTTTTAGGGTTCGGATGTAGTAGGCACGTTAACTAAGCACAATGAGTGAGCACCTAATAGCTATGTGACACCTGTTCTAGTTAATGTGCCTTTCATCTAAAAGATAAAACACAAAAAATGAAAAAGTACAAAATTTTGTTGAAAACATTTGAGAATGTTTCTAATATTATATATTCATCATATTAATTAAAAATAATTATTAAACTAAAATTTATTTTTATTTATAATGAAAATGGATACAAAATTAAAAGTAATTATTAAACTAAAACTTATTATTATTATTATTATTATTATTATTATTATTATTATTATTATTATTATTATTATATAAATATATATCTGAACGTCTTAGGCAAAGAAACAAATCGAATTAAAACCCTATTGAGAGCCCTAGAAGTCTCCAATAAAAAATAGCAACAATTAAAAAAGAAAAGCCTATGGCTATGGTAATAGTGAGAGAATTTTCTCAAGATATGAGGATCAAACGGGCTATGTTAGACTTGTCCAAAATGAGCTACAAAGATGTAGCAAATAAGCTTTTTTAAGCGGAGAATCTTCAAAAACATCATCTAAAAAAATGAAAGAAGAAGAAGAAAAATCTGACACTCACTTTATAGATTTTTTAAGCGAAGAATCAGAGATAGAAATAAAATCAAATACACCATCAATGGAGCTAAATAAGCTTTCATATAAAATAAAAAAGCCTTATTACCCAAGCATACCCTAGTAGACTTACTTTTTGAGAAATTTGCAAGACCTCAGGTAAGTTATGATAGAAGTACATTTTATGCATGGAATTTAGATGGGAAAACTGAGTACCAAATTCATGAAATGATCCATCATATGACGTGCTAGCGCTACTAACTGGCTGGGAATGAAGAAAAAATAATTGCCACCGTAATGACCGAATGCTTTACATGCCAACTTAAAGGATGGTGGAACAATTACCTTTCCCAAGCTAAAAGAGATTATATCATAAATTCGGTAAAAAATGGATGAAGATGGAGAAATGGTCTTAAGTAAAGGCTAACCAATTCAAGATGCAATCACCACTTTAGTATTAAATATACTAAATCATTTTATAGGGAATTTTGATGATATGCTAGAAAGAATAGTGAACAACTTATAAATCTTAAGTATAAAACATTATATGATTTTAGATGGTATAAGAATATATTTCTGTCCAAAGTACATAGGCTAACTAATTTAAGAGATCCCATTTGGAAAGAACAATTTATTTCAGGCCTTTCCCCATTATTCACTGAAAAGGTCATGAACCACCTTAGAAGTCTAGGAGGAGGGAGAATCCAATATACCCATCATACGTTCGGGTATGTCCAGATAGTAAAATAGATAAGGCTAGACTTATGCAATGACTTACGCCTAAAAGGGCAAATCAAAAGAGAGAATACTAACTCGAAAAAAGAATTAGGAGATTTTTGCTACCAGTTTGGAGTAGGTCTTGAACCCATCCAATGCTAAACCAATACATAAAAGGAGAAAATCCAAAATTCACAAAAGAAAACCAGAGAGAAAAGAAAGAAATCAAAATCCTCTAAAAATAAAAGAGATAATAAGACCGCCACTTGCTTTAAGTGTGGAAAAAGGGGTCATTTTGCTAACAAGTGCTTTAAAAACATAAAAAAGGTTAATGAATTAGGTGAATCTGTAAGAGAGGTCACCTCTAAAGAAGAAAGAGAAAGAAAAACCTCTACCTCTACCTTTATAAAGAGTGTTGTGACAACCAAGGTCTCTGTACATGTAAATATGAAACTAGTATAGAAGATGATTCAAATAGTATTAATATAATCTCTCGAAGTCAATCACTCGTCTATGTTATTTGCTGCTTAAGAAAGATTTATCGTAAGTCATAACTCATAATAAACTATAGTCATTTTTAACACTTATTTTTCTGAATTTTGTTTCAAAAGAACACAAAAAAAAGTCAATAAACAAATACTAATAAAACATAAAATTAATATATGTAATGAAAATCAAGATCTAAAATTGAGAAATTCTGAGGTTTTAAAGGATGGAAAGAAGTTCGGTTGGGCCCAACCCAAAATTGATTTCGGGTTAAGTTGGATTAAGTTGGACTGGTCGGGTTTAAGGTTAGGGTAGGATTGGCCTCAACCCGACCTAATCGGCCCGACTTGCAATCATAATGAGCTACATCATGCCATCTTAAAGTAATGACATGACATCAGATAATCGCAAGGATTTTTGTCTTTTTTTCATACCTTTTCGGTATCACATTTATATTGCTCTAAGCATTGATCAATAGTGCAACCAGAACGACTGCTGCTCTGCCCAAATCCATCTATCACCATAGTTTTCGTTTTTATCACCGAAACCAGTCTTCCAATTTGCCAGCCCCACCCCTCTGTAACTAGTTGCTTAACTTGATTTCCAAAATTCCACCGAGCAGAGGAGTTGCTTAGCATTTATGAAGAGTTCCAGGGTAGATGGTTTGGTTGTGGGGTTGAGGCTCATTAATGATGGAGGCGGGTGCTCTGTTTCTTTTTCTTTTGTAGATGCTGTCAATAAGTTGGGCAATGAATAGGTGAAGACTGCAGTCTATGTCAATTTAATGGAAATTGATATTTGTGGATTTGCGGTTTTGGTCTCAAAGTCAAGTAATAGGATTGATCATGAGAAGTGGATCAAGACAGTCTACAAAATAGCCAAAAGGGCAAAACATCACTGGACGAGGTAGGTATTTTAAGTATTTTTCATCCGTTGGCTTTGAGTTGTTCTGTTTTGCTTTAGTTACTTCCTGTTGAACATTGAGTGGGAATGATCAGTTGGTGAAGTTAATTAATAGTCTAAAGGTGTAAATTGAATATATATTCACCCAACTTTTTCTTGTTTCTTGTCATACGTCCGGAGAGATGAATGGAACAAGGATCATTGGATTTTTTTTTCCATTCTAAACAATTATATAATTAGTTCCTTGATAAATATTGGGTTTGGCATATTTAAATACAGGATCCTTCTAACGGTAATGGTTCAATAGAAGGAACTATATTTGTCTTTGATTTTTTTTTCTTTTTTGACATTAATCGCTTTTTCTAGGCATCTGGTGGTAACCAGTCAATGTAACTAGATCTAGTTCAAAATAAATAAATAAATAAAGACAATTAGATCTTTTTTTGCATTCTCATCCTAGTTGTATAATAGATCTTTTTGTATTGATCGCTTAGGCACAGTTCGGAAAGAGTACAAATACAACGATGTACAGTTCAAATACATACAAAAAACAAGGCTTTGCACTCTACCTATTTGTTTTGTACTCCATCCAACTGAGCCTTAATGACAGTTCTTTTCATCACTAACTTCTTTTTCTGTAGAGTAAAAAAACTTGTGGTGAACAAAATAAAATAAGTGAACTTTTCCTCAAGTTAAGAAAAATGATCTTTAATTCCTACAGATTTGTAGCTTCTTATTGGAGGCCTCATATGGGTTACAGTACTGGTACTTATACCTTGGCATAATCTTTTATAACTACACTTGCAATAATGCAACTTCTTTAAATCATTTATAGAACAGTTATAGATTTTCTTGCTTACTTCGTCAGAATCAAAACAATCACCTAGGGAATCTGGATGTCAGAAACTCCCAATTAAGGAAATTTATTCTTCCACAAACAATCCAAGTGTATGAAACCTTATTGAGCAAGGTATAGCAGGTAAGAACTAAGAACCTATGTATCTATTTCCCAAGCATGAGAATGCTGTTTCAGAAATGATGGGGGAAAACAAGAAAAGTCTCTGGCAATACTCATACAACAGCTTCTGAATCCTGAAACTATTTCATGAAATGAGGGGGCCGTATAGCATATATTCTTAATCCATTTTGGTTCTGGAAAATGTTAGGAAGGTGTACAAAGATATCATCAACAATGGATATCTCAATACTTTTTTCAGGGAATTTAAAAGCTTATCACATGTTAGATATCCAAACCTTGTTTATTTGATGGGATATTGACTGCTTTCTTGTTTATGAGTTATTCCCAAATGGGAATCTCTCAGAATGACTGTTTGGTATTTTATACATCTTCTTTTATGAAGTTGTTCCCTTCTGTGCTTTCATTAAATGAAAGATGGTGGGCATAAGGCATTAAACTTGGCCTCTCCTGTGTACAGGTAAACACAAGCTACCATCCTGGATTCAAAGACTTGAAATTGCACCATATATTTCCAGGGAGGCTCCACGCGAAAGCCGGAGTGCGAGTTAGCACACTGTAGTTTTCTCGCTTGTTGCCCTGTAGTTTTCTTCGCTTGTGGGCCGGGAATGCCCGACAACTCAGTTTGTCCAGTAAACTATATAAATATATATCCAGCTCCTACTCCCAACTTTGTAGTTCTTATTTACATGCTTAATGCTCAGTTAAGAATGCCACCTATGATCTATCTATATCTTTTCCTGAATAAATGGATAAAATGCACTATAATATATAAGTGATCACATTATAAAAATGCATATTTTGTATTCGCGAATGTAATTAGATGCTTATTATTTGGAAGAAGTTATGCCATGGGAGGAATTTAGCATACATTGATAAGATGCTTCAAATAAGTGATGACATATCATTATAATACACAGGTAATTGATCTCCAGACAAATATAAATCATATTGAACACAACTTTGTTGGGTCTTCACACTGTAACAGAAAATTCATTGGTTTTATTCAGAAGTATTTTCAAACTTTAGCTCCTCAAAAAACTGAGCTAATATCAAAATTTTCAACCATGAAGATGAAGAAGCAGAGCATCCGGGTAATATTTACAGAGGTGGATGCGCTGCTTGAGCCAACAGAGCAATTTGTTCTTGTTGCACAGCCTGAGCCAACAGAGAGGAGGAGCTTGGGCCATGGAATTCATGGAGGACACTGAGGAGTGCACTGGCCTTCTTACTTGCACGAGATGTGCCTTCTGTTATAAGGGTATACAATGATTCCATGAGCGAGGGAGTTTTCTGTAAAATGGCAGCCACCTCTGCCCCACCATTGATGCAGAGGGGCAACAACAATGAAACACAATACTCCTGCGCTGCACGAGATGTGGAGGAGCGTAGGATCCCCACAAGCAGTGGTAAAGCAGAGGTGCATAGGATTGCTATTGTTCCATCCGGTTTTTCCCCCAGCTTTGCTAGCACTGCCAAAGAATCAATTACAAGATCAAACCTCTCAGAAGATATCAACATATGGACCAGCAGTGGGACTGCTCCAGCTTCCAGAACCCTCTGATGGTTATCGGGACAAAGGAGGAGCCCAAAGATTGCAACCACAGCATTCTTCTTCCCACGAACTGTTCCAATCCTCATCAGCTCTACCAATGAAGAGATTGCATTTGGCATCTCTCCAATCAATTTCCTGTACTCCTCAACTGAAGCAAGATAAAAAAGTGTAGCAGCTGCCATCTGCCGAGAATCTATTGCAATTCCTCTTCTTAGAACGTCCAGAATCAATCCCAGCCCATTATTCTTGACAATTAACATTTTGCTCTTGGAATGTTTTGAAAGGTTCAACAGGGCTGCCATGGCATTCTCTTGTATGGATGGATCAGTTGTGGATAGAAGCTTTAATAAATTGGGGATTGTGCCTGCATCTGCCAAGCAAGACCTGTTGAATATGCTTGATTTTGCAAGTAACCGGATCTCATAAGCGGCCTTCTTCCTCTCTTCACCCGTTCCTTTGGCAAGCCTATCAGCTAAAAACTTGGCAAGCATTTTCATGGCTTCTTCAGCTGCTGGACTGCCGGCAAAAATCGTTCTTGTTATGTCACGACTCCGACCACCTGTTTCAGTGACTGGAGTTCGGCTGTCGGAACAGAACTGCTGAATAAGCTTCTTTAAAGCTAAATTAGGAACCAGCTCTGTATTGGTTAGTTTCTCCCCTGTTTTGGGACAAGTGAGGTTTCCGGCCTTGAGCCACTTTTGAATTGAAGAGCGATCATAGGTATGCCCAGTTGATAGGGTCACCGGATTACTCATAATCTCAAGAGAGATAGGACACCGGAAATCCTCGGGGTTCAGGTAACTAAGCACCTCTCCCTCGTCTCTATTGTCGAACCATTCACTGCCTTTCCCATCCACAGCTTCGAACATCACGATTCGGCAGTAGATCATAAACCCCATCAGACTGCTTAGGGGCACGATCTCTCTCTCATCTCCATTGTAAGCCTCCAAACTAATCTCTTCATCCAAGAATTTGGCCTCGTTGCTGCACTCATTCCAGCTCCGGACCTCCAGATGGTCCAGAATCCGCCTAACATCATACGGGCTCGGCCAAACTCCGTCGTCGAACTGATTCAGAATTGAAAGAACATTCTTAGCAGTGCGTTCATCATCTGGGTCTACGTCGAACTTTGCCTTCTGCGCCTGCTTGGCTACTAATTCAACCAATTCCCTGACTTCTGTGGACACGTCAATGGAATCCAAGGGAAGAACATCGAGCACCGTAGCTACCGTTCTGATTAAAACACGAAACTCAGTAGAAACTCGTTTGCAGTTCATCAGAATCCATAGACGAACGCCTTCACGGGTGCAGTCTTCCAATATGTACCGGAGCTTTTGCAAGGTGATATGGAGCTCAGAAAAGCAGAGCACGACCAAGTCGGGTAGAGCTGATCGACGATAACGGTCTTGGACTTCTTCAAAAAAGATGAGGAGAAGTCCGACTTGGCGAATAGCTTCCCGTGCGTCTCTCTTATGAGTCGCGACTATCTTCGGTTGGAAATCGCAGATGTTGCGAGAGAGAGAAATAAGATCATGTATGAGGGTCACCGGAAAGACACATTCGCAGGGAGGAACGGCCGGAAGCATCAAAATCCGGCGTAAGGACCGACCAGAATTTTGGATCATTGAAACGGAGACGCCACGGAAAAACCAAGACGATTTCGGAATTCGGATTGAATCAAAACTGAAGCAACTCATCAGTCGTGAGGAAGTTTAAAAAGATACGGGAAGGATCTTTTATTACACGTGGCGATTGACCGAACTTATGAGATTACTAGTATGGACAGTACAGATATTAAGATATACACTGTTTAATGTCCAACACGTGTCTTGGACACACGTAAAGAAGACGAAGCGGCTTCTCGGATGATGAGGCAATTTACCGACGTGGGAGGTAATGATTGTTGGAGTTATGAATGAGGATGTAGACTGGGGCCCACAGGCCGACCTGCACACGTGGTAAATCAAAGATATGACACCGTGCCCCTCGTCCCGGGACCCGGGGAGTGGAAGAAAAGAGTTCAGATCTATGCCCCAAAAGGGGCGCCCCACAGTGTCCCAGAGCACATCCCCGCCGTGCATTCGGGAGGAAAAAGCTCGTGGTGTTAGGGTCCAACTATTCAAGATACGAGTTCGGCTTCAGTCCAGGCACAGTTGATGCGCGCATCGTTCGCGCAGCATGAATACGCGCCACGCGTCATTAAAACGTGTGCGTCATAAAATCGTGCGAGGTAAATTAAACGTACTCCTCTCACCACTCTCTCGCTCATACGGAATCGAACCCACGCTGCACGCTGGTTCTCGAACTCGCATACTTGGACCGGGTCGCCATGTCTCTCCTCCGCAGTCCCCATCCTCCCTCTCCCTCTCACTCCCGTCCAGGGTTAGGGTTCTACCTTTCAACCGGCTAGTGACCAGAGCAACCAACGACCGGCGGCAACCTTCGTCCGGATACTGGCCATGGTTCTTCTTCTTCTTTTTCTTCTTTTTAATCATTGGTTGGCTGTTATATCCCCTGAAAACTAATGTATTCTTTTTTTTATTTTTTAATTGTTCCAGAACCGGTGGAACAAACAAGGTATCAGCCATTACGGGCGGTGATGGCATTCTTAACCATTACCGGTGATGGCATTCTTAACCATTATCAAACCAATTTTATCAACCCGAAACCCAACACAATTTGGAATGGGCTTTGGTGAGTTCTTCAGATTCGTAAATCTTCTGCTTTGTTCATGTTTTGCACATTCTAGTTATATTTTATTATATATACTTTGTTTTATATTGTAAAATCAGATACCATTATAATTGTAAATCTACAGTAAAGTGATCTATGACGATGGATATATTTCTTTTTCTTTTGTTTATCTTAATATAAATACTAATTATATATGATCATTTATTTCATTTCTTATATATCATAATTACACAAGCACTATAAAACAATTGTGGAATGATATTATGTGATTTTTTTCTTAAAATCTTCCATACATAGTCCTCAAACACTTCTTTGTTAATTGGTATGCATAAAAACGAAAAAACTTTATTTTGCAAATCCTCTTATGAAATTGATATTCAACCTCATTTAATAGATTTACTCGTTAGTTTCTACTTCTAGATGAGATTAATTTTCACAAATTGCACAAAATGTGACACCTCAAAAGATAATAAGGGTTATTGTAGAACTAGAAGTACTAAAGATAACATGATTGAGCTTCTTTCTTCACATGGTCAAATGGCAACATGGTTTGAGGCAGTGGTAAAGCCATGAATGTTCTTTTGGGGGGCAAGTTATATAACTTTTGTCTAGGCTTGAAGTTATTATAAATCAATTAAATTATAGAGATTTGTAACATAAACAACACAAATATTACCACGGAAATTCAGAAATGCATAAATGGTATGAGTGTGAGTACTGCTATTATCTTTGGGTTATAGGTTTTATGGCAACTCCCATAAATGGTTATAGGTTTTCAGTGTAATTTTATAAATTAATATTATATTAATTTAATAAGTAAATATATTATATATAATATAAGTACTTTTTTATTATATGTAATAGTATTGGGTTGGGCTTGGATTCGGGCTGAGCTTATTTGAGAAAATCTGATCCCGGTCCAAAAAAATGATCAAGCCTGCTATTTAAAGTCCGAACCTGAGTTCATGGGTCTAAAAATTTGTCCAAACCCGAAAAATAACAGACCGACTCGACGGTCTACATGTGAGCTGTCCTGGATAGAAAATTTGGACTCCCTTCAACTAGGTAGCTAGGGACCAATTTTTTTTCAATTTACATGACAAGTTTCAGCCAAATTCTCCCCCACCCTCCTCTTGAAAATTTCCCTTTCAGAAAAAATCCATTCATCATCATCAAACTTGGTAAAATCTCCCTTTGCATAATATGTTTGATAAAAGACAGGAGAACAGGCCACATAAACATCCTTATAATAGAGACCGGATCTGCTCCTCACAGAGAGCACTCCGTATATCTACCGTGATGGGATCTACTCCGTACATTGGGAATATCTTTCATGAATTATAATTAATAAATACCGGAAATGTTTCCAATGCATGATAGGATGTACGTGTGAAGCGCCAGGTGTGAGAAGCAGATCCGGTCTCATACCTACCTCACGGCACACCCCAATTGCACATTGGGATCATCTATTCTGTACTTGTATCATTGTATGTTATCAACTTACCATATATGGGGAGATGTTCCCAATGCACGGTGGGATGTACTGTGAAGAGCTCTGTGAGTAAATCCAGATTCCCTAAAGTGATGTTTGTTTTGCTAAGACAATGTGAAACCGAGTAAGAGTCTATCCGACCTACAATTGGCAATGGGAGTCCTAATGCAACACAGGGTTTCAATTTTCCGGATGACCCCCCAAGAAAAGCTTGACAATGATCTCTGCATCGCCTTCAATATGTTTATATGAAAATTACTCGTATCCTACTTCAATGCAAATCCTAGCACAAAAACCCCTGCTAATCTGCTACTTGTTTAGATTAAATTTGAAAATATAAAAAATGAATTTCAGAGAACAACCAATATTATTGTGAAAAACACTGTTCAGAGAGCAAAATCTATCATTCATAAACAATTTAGCTTCCCAAGCTAACTGATGAACTGCCACAGTAAGTTTTTTAGACCTATAAACATAATTAACATTATCAAAAGAAAAAACAAGAGTATCTTGTCCAAACAGCGACTCGCCCTTCAAGAGCGATTTAAAGACTCGTTGGATTTCTTGCAGGACCACCCTACCCTAGCATCTGAAACAAAACAAACAGAACTCCACCCCTGATCCTTGTGCACTGAGTTCCAAAAGAAGTGAACACATGACTAATTCATTATAGGCCATTTCTATCTAAGCTGGAATTCAACCCTAAAATATATATTTGTCATTTGGTTTTATTTTCGCTTCTCTTTCATTTCTGTGTTTTATTCTTTTTAAATATCCTCATCTCTCACTCCCTCTCCCTCAAACCCATATTAAAAAACATATCCATGGCTGAGTTGACAGATAGAACTAAGGCTATATACACAAGACGTTACAAACAAGATGTACCCTAGGGCTTAGGTACATCTACAAACACCTAAGGTTTTAGGTGAATGTCGTTATTAGTCTGGCGCTTTAGAGAGAGAGAGAGATGAATATTGAATAATGAAACAGATTCTCTTAACGTGGGCCAAGCCCGTCGACACTTGAGATACGCGGTTTAATTAATTAATTAATTAGCTAGCTGTATACATATATATATATCATCAATAATTGAAATCAGTGATCTCCAATTGTTTTTTAGCCCTACATTATTTGGAATCAATCCTGGACCAACATTACGTAACCACCTCCCCAAAACAACCTGCATTTAGTCCCACCCACGTGTCACGAATTCTAGGGTTCACGACACGTGCGCATTCCTCCTCCCTACCTTGAGAGAGTAAGAAGCTTCCCAGCAAATATAATAATATAAATAAAAATTTATTAGAACTAAAGACTAAGAATAAAGACAATTAGTAGTTGGAACTTGAAAATCATCTTTCAAATCACCTTCACTTTTGCCACAGGCAATATCTTCTAGTCTAAGTCTAAGTGGGATCCATTATTCCATTTTGGTCTTCTTTTTCTTTTAAGAATAAAAAAATATAATAAAAACTCTGTTAAAAATAAAAAACATGTTCTATATATTATCCTTTGAAAGTTATGAGACAAAGCTTCCAGTATATTTTAATTATATATGTATATATATAATTAAAGGATGCATCCATATTTTGTTTTGGATCCACTTCTTTGAAATGTTCAACATCGGATATATTTCTACTAAAAAACCCAAAACTTAGTTCCTTTTTCCAAAAGGAGGAAATGCTCTTTTCTACAGAGGAGAACAAAGCCACTCTGTTGCCCATGTTTAAGAGAATCTTTCTTTCCACTAACGATAACACTGAGTTGGGTGACTGGCTTTTTAACTATTTAATGTCCACTCAGGGAGCATTTCCTCCCTTTTAACATGTCACAATACAGACACAGACATTTCTTTGTAATTGTACATTTTCGGTGCAGTTTAGACAAGATCTCAGACCAAATCGATAAATTACAGTTTGATTTTTTTTTAAATCAAATTAAATAATTTTGATATAGAAATTAAAGCAAATCAAATCAAATCAAATCAAACCATTTTATTATGATTTGGTATGGTTTCATGATTTTGGACCATTTTATGATTCTTTTGGGTTTAACCCAATTAGAAAACTCAAATAGTTCTCCTAAAAAATTAAAACTTAAACTTTTTTATTATTTTTTTTATAAAACAAAGAATTCATTATATATTTATAATTTTACGCATTCCATTTGGATATATTATATATCATATATATATATATATATATATATATATATATATATAATTTCTGTTCACGGTTTGATTTGGTTTATAAAATTCAATAAACCAAACCAAAACTGCAAAGTGCGATATGAAAAACCTTCAAATCAAATCAAACTGTTTATAGGTATAAACCGAACCAAACTGTAAAGTCGGTTTGACTTAGTTTGGTTTTGCAGTTTGAATCGTAGAATGAACACCCCTATTTAAGGGAGAGAGAGAGAGAGAAAGAGAGATGAAAATGAGGGCAACTTTATTTTTAGAGAAATTCTAGTAAATGAAGAGGGCCCAGCAATTACTAGAATAATTGGCTTATTCAAAGAGTTTTTACTGACT